GTGGTGGTGGTGGTGGGGAAGACCCAGGCCTATACTGGGCATGGGTTCCCCCACAGGTCATCAGATGGGTCTGAGCTGGAAGGGGTGGTCTGCAGGTGGTGGGATGGATCCAGGCCTACTCTGGACCTGGGCCCCCATGCAGGTTGGTGAGGCAGATCTACATAGTCTGGATATTTATCCTCTGTCAGATTGAATTTTGGCAAATATTTTATTGCATTCTGTAGATTGTCTCTTCACTCTATTGATTTTTTCCTTTGCTTTGCAAAGCTTTTTCACTTGATATAATCCCATTACTATTATTATTATTATTATTATTATTATTTTAGTACTGAGAAGATAATTGAATCCAGTGGTGCTTTACACAGTGGTGGTTCCATCTACAGCCCTTTTTATTTTTTTATTTTGAGTCAGGGTCTTGCTAAGTTGCTGAGACTGGCCTTCAACTTTTGATTCTTCTGCCACAGCTTTCAGAGTTGCTGGGATTATAAGTGTGCACTACTGCACTTAGCTTTTTAGTCAATTTTTTAATAAAAGCATATCTCTAATCATGTGGATGACTAACTTATAATTGAACATACCTTTGATTATGATCTTTTTGTGACATTTTCACCAAATTAAGAGTAAATGGGATTTATCCCTATAATCTTGTAGAATCTGTGCAGATTATGTCTACCTCTACCTGTATTTTCTCCCTTATCTATTTATTGGTGTCATCAATGGTTGCCTGTATTTGCTCTCTTAACTCTTTGTAGGAGTGATCAATTTTTGCACTTTAAAACCAAGGCATCATAGTTGGTTAGATGGATAAAAGTTTTCAGGATATTTTGATTATTATTTTGATTATGGCCTGTACAGTGGCCAAGTTCAAAAGAATTTGCATTAACATGGTCACTGATATCTTCCCATTCAAAGATGATTTATTTTTCACATTCACTGTTAGTGTGCATAAACATGCCATTCAATAGATATAAAAGTAGCAATAAATGCATAATATATATTTTAAGAGATGAATTTTTAATGATTCATGAAATAATAAAATTGTACATGGAGGACTTAATACAGTACTTTTGAATTTAAAAAAATCCCTCCCCTAGTAATTACTAATCATAATACAGACAAAAATATATCAAGCTCCTAATTTGTCCATTGTTGAACTATCCATTCCTACCTTTATTCAAATAAATGTATACCAAATTTTTAGTTTCATTAAAGAGTCATCCCTTACACTGATGTTTTAATTAGAATTTTAATTATTTTATATTTATTTGCATTTTTATTTAATTTGATAATTTTGCAACTCTTGTGAGACTGAAATTTAATACCTAATTTTATTTTTGTATGTGTTTGAAGGTCATAATATTTTTTTAAAAAAGGTCAGGATGAGAGTGGCCCTTACAGGAACACTGGTATTTCATACAGTTGTGAGAAACATAGGTGCATCTATTATCCAGAACCTACCCTGGGAGAAGCTATCCACACCAGGGCCCGAGACACATCCTCTCACATAGACTATACCTCATAAAAGGACATATCCGTTCACTTATTTATTCACTCATTCTTCAGATATTTTTAACACCTTTTTTTGAGTGAAGTGCTTATATGTTTGGGGAGATGGACTAATGATACTAACAGGATTGTGTTCATGATCTCAGGAACACCAAGTGTAGCTTGAGAAACAGGGATTCTAACTTGATGTGATATGTACACAAACTATGGAGGGAGAAGAGGTGGGCCCTGACTCAGCCTGAAGAAAAAGTGAGTGCACTCATGTCCTTAATGAATGAGTAGGAGTTCCTCAGGTAAAGGGCAGGACAGAGAAGGGAGGGAGTCTAAGCAGAGAGGTTTACTCCCTGATTCCGGGAGATGCGTGGAAATGCATCAAGGAGAGATCTCAGAACATCATTTGTTATACTCCCAGTGAACCTATATGCTTTAAAACATCTTTACTAGGTGTGAACAGACATGTGATGATGGGGCTGGGAAGACTTAAGGGAGCCATATTGTCCTGTATTTAAATAGGGTGAAAGAGGAAATAGACACTGTGTGGGCCCCAGGCACTAGTATAAAGTGTACAGAGAGTGTTACTGTGTCCTTCCTGGAGCCCCACTCTTCACCCTCAATACTACTTTCCCATCTTTGGAACTTGAGTTCCACTCTAGGGCACATACATCTTCAAAGATGGAGAGCAGGCTGCAGGGACAGGGGGAAACAGCATATGCTGTCCCTTCTGGTGGGTAATTGTCAAATTCCCCTTCTGCACATTTATCTTTGCTTCAGCTGTGGCCTAATCTTGTAGGGCAGTTTGTCTTGCCTAATATCTGAACTAGATGTTGTAGAAGATTCCACAAGGAATCAAGCAACTAGAATAAGAACAGTCTCAAATTTAGTGAATCCCTGAAAAAAACTTTCTGCTGACTCTCAGGCAGCCATGCTATCTGCTTTCCACTCAGGATTGGCCATCTTGTTGATATTCAGGGAACAGCATTTACTTAAAATGGCTAAGATGGCAATGCCTTGGTTTTAGGATGACCTTCAACCCCTTTGGAATTGGAGAATATCCCTATTACATTACTATTGTAATAAAGCCTTTGCTATTTTAAGAAGGTGCCATGGAGACTCTGTGACCCAGGCAGAGGTCCTGTTATGCTTCCTGCACCCTGAAGGGCAGTTCTGACCCTGAACTACACTTATAGACATAGCTGTCCACCTTTCCTTTTCTGGTATGTCCAAATATCTAAATCAAGGGCCTGGGCTCCTCCTGAGAAGATCATCAGAAGACCAGAAGTGTTTTCCAGGCAAGCTGACTAGGGGCAACAGCTCCTTCCCCATAAAGAAACCTCTCAGGCAGAGGTGAGCCTGGCATGACACTGGGCTCTGAGGTTTGTGAGGGGCTGTGCAGGTGCAGCACAAATCCAGAGAGCGGGGAGATCCTGGGTGTGGCCAATCAGTGAGGGGTGATTCCTCTGTCTAGTGTCCCTGGCTGAAGTTTTGTGCCAGGACCTTCCAGCTCTGTTGCTTCAGAGCCAGGGCATCTGGAGTTCTTGGATTACTCTCCAGAGCAGAATAGGGGAGGGACAATGTCAAAGGGAACTGGACTGTTTTCCAGAGGAGCCTGTTTTCAGCGCAGATGTCTCTCCTTTCCCACAGATGGAGAACACGCCTGACAAGTTCCACTAGCTCTGCTACAGGACAGTTTAGTTAGTTGGTCTGTGCTGAAATGAGTCACTTTAACTGCTTATAAATGTGCCCAGAAAAAAATGGTTCATGAACTAATGTGTGATCTGTTTTTACAGTTGGAATCAGGATAGTGTGTCTTGTTGATTTTAACAGCAGAAACTCCATCTTCAGTAAATGGATGTTTATTTGCCCTATCCTTGACTTCTTTTCCCCATGGAATTGTTCTAGAAATGCAAATCCCTAAGAATTTTTTAAGAGGACAGCTAAGAGAGACCATCCTCCTGTCTGGGACACTGAGGTTCAGAACAGCCCTGTCAGTACAGGCTGTTCCAGGGCATCTTGCTCACACTGTGCCAACACACCTCACTCTGACCTTTCACTCAACCTGGTAACTTTTCAGTGTTAAAGAATGACCTTGAGGTTTGTGCTCTGAGATGTTCAGGATTCTGCACATGACTCTAGCAGTGAAGCCTGACCTGTTATTTTTATCATTGTATCATGATACTCCTGCAGTAACGAACAAAAAACTCAGGTGTCTGCTTACAACAGAGGAGGATGCTCATGACCTTTCAATAAAATAGCCTCATGTTTCTCCACACTAAATGGATACAAACAGATGAACTTGGGCTTCTGATGCAACACTTGGGGCACCAGGAGAAGGACCTTAACTGTCTGGGAGCTCCACATGTCATTTTTCCACCTTGCATTCTCTGGGCTTGGCAGGTGTAAGTCAGGCTTTGCATGGCCTGATGCTGCTCTCTTTCAGAGCGTTCTTTAAGAAAAAGAAAATAAGCTTAGAAATACTAGTTTCTGTGACTGGAATAGCAGGAAGCCATGAAATAAAAGCTTGATTTGTTTCATAGTAAATCTGTCTCTGGATCACATAGAGATTAATTTCCTCTGTAAGAATTAGTTATTATGGGCTGTGGATGTAGAGCACTTGCCTATTATGCAAGTTCAATCCCCAGAACTGGGGGGGGGGAAGAATGAACTATTATAATAGCCTCAGTTTGTCCTGATATCCACAGCTTCCCCTGCCCCATGTCATGCTTTCCACCACAATAATTGAGTCACTTTAGCTATCATTCATTTATTTTCACTCTATCAATTTTAAATAACAGTTTTATTGAGATATAATTCACATGCCATAAATGTATCATTTTAGTATATTCACAGAATTGTGTAGTTATCACTACTAATAGCAGTACATTAGGGCTACAAAACAACTCTGTGTGATACAGTTATGGTAGACATGTCATTATGTGTTTGTCTCAACCAAAAGAATGAATGGTTCTGAGATTGAAACCTGATGTAAACTAGGCATCCTGGATGACAATGATGTGTCTGTGCAGTTTCTTCAGTTATAACAAATGTATCTCTGTTGCATAATGTTGAGAGAGGGAGGCTATACATGTAGAGGTCATGGTCAGTTTGGGACTCAGGAGACATGATGTGAAATTATTCGTTAACAATAAAGTATTTCTCATGTGATTTTTGCCAAATTACATGACTGGCAAGGTAGGAACAAAGACAAAGTTTTTACTTTTCACCTTGGTATCATCTGTAGGGGCAAAAAATGTGTATGTAAACCAAAAGATATATGACCATGTTAGCCCATGACTATAGTTCATAATAATTTTACGTCCTCCATTTTTTTTATCAAAGAATATACTGAAAATGATCCAACCCAATAAATTATAATAAGATAAAGCAGCTGCTCAGAGCTGTCAGGCATCTCCCACTATACAGGAAGCATGTGACAGGACCCAGGCAAACCTGCCCCATATCTGCTAACTGCATTTCCTGTTGGAGCAGATGCAGTGCATAGCCCAGTAACTTTGCTTGTACCTCTTGAGCACCAGGTGCAGAATTAAGATCTGGATTTGGGACAAAACATAGAGCATTTTTCTCAGGGAAGAGCTACCATTATGCTGGCCACCAGCCTGCTGGGAGCAGCCATCGCCTCCATCTGTCTTGGTAAGGATATGCACAAGCACAGGGCTCAGGCTCTTCTCAGCCCTAAAGGTCCTGAAGAGAAGATCTTTGTTTTCTGATGAGGTTATGAGGGATGAATAAAAGGCAATGGGTCAGAGCACTGGGTCCTCAGTCACTTCATCTTTTTGACTCTCATAGTTCCAGATAAAGGATAAATCTATTTCTTCTTCTCTCCTGCAGGAACCAGCATGGCCCAGAAGGTAATTCAAGCTCAGACTGCAATTTCTGTGGTGGAGAAGGAGGCTGTGACCTTGGACTGTGTGTATGAAACCAGCGATCCTTCTTATTATTTATTCTGGTACAAACAACTACCCAGTGGGAAACTGACTTTCCTTATTCGTCAGGACTCTTACAATAAGCAAAATGCAACAGAGGGTCGCTATTCCCTCAACTTCCAGAAGGCATCCAGTTCCATCCAGCTCACCATCACAGCCTCACAGCTCATGGATGCAGCAGTATATTTCTGTGCCCTGAGAGAAGCCACAGTGAGAGGGCTGCCTGTGGGAGTCCCACAAAAACCTCAAGAAGAGCTAGGGCCTCTGCGGGGAGACCCCACCACAGACAGGGAGGAGCAGGTCTGTGTCAGCACAGGTGGGGGTTTGGCAAGTAAAACTGAGTGCAGTTCATATAGAATGTCCAGATGGTCATTTGTTAAAAGGATGTATAGCTCCTGTTCTATGCAATAGATTGAGATAGAATGCGTAGCACATATTTTTATAGCATATACAAAAATTATTTTTAAAATAAAATTTAAGACGACTTATTAATCTTGTATTGGTGTTATTGAAACAAAGATTTCAAATTGCCTTCATACCAAATGGATGATTTTATTGATGAGTTGTTGAATTATTAGAATCATAAATGCATTTATGCATTCATTAGTATGTAAATGCTTTAATCAACTTATAAAACAAATGCCCTTTATTTTTTTGAGAAAATTTTTCTCAGTTTTTTTCAAAAATAATCAGATAAATTGCTAATCAATCAGGTAGATTAAATTATTTAATTTAGAACTTTTCCCATAATCATACTAGCATCCTTTTTTACAAGGAGAGTGTGTTTGAAATGTTCCCAAAGTTACCACTGTCTGGCTTCTCTCTTTTGTGATATGATTATGATTTTTTAAAAAAACATCTGTATCTACTGCTGCCTACAAAGAGAGATGATTAGTTGAAAATTAGTCCTGACCCATGGATTCTCTTGCCTTCATCCTTTCTCTTCAAGTTAATTCCAGTTTGAAGATGAGAAGAGATCGAGGCCAGATGACAGCTGTCATAGCAGCCAACACCAGAGTGTCTTTGCTAGTGTCAACTTCCAGACTAAACATAAAAATGTTCCCAGGTGTATAATCAGTGCTTAAGGACAAGGATTTTTTTTTTCTTTTTCTCCATACATGTTTCAAAAACCTCTGAATTTAATTGCCATCCTTTATAATGGAGATATCATACTAAAAACAAGATTTCTTGTTCACCCAAAAACAAATGGGAGATCACCCCTCTGGGGTCAAGGTTGCATGTTCTGTTTTAACATGTAAAGACTTTAATTAATATTCACTTTATTTAAAAATATGCAAATTTATCATTAATTTCATAATATAAATTTGTCTAAATTTAAAATGTTAACTTATTGTTACAAAATTATTTTTATCTATAAGCAGATCCATAACACAGACAAATCTGAGTTAACATTTTATTTACATATGTCTGTTTTTCCCTATGACTTCATATATCACATTGTATATACCAGTCTAGAAACTTAAGTGTAGGTTATTAATTAAGGTACAATTAATTTGAAAGATGCTGAGTTTGTATGGTAGGTGTTAGAAAATCATTAGCTCCCCAGATCAGCAGAGGCAGCAGCCTGTGCCCTCTCTCGCCCGCCCGCCCCCCTCCCCGCGCCCCCCTCCCAGCCCTGCGGTCTCTTTCCCCCTTCCTCCTCCTCCTCCTCCACCCCCCCACTTCCTCCTCCGCCGGCCCGCGGCCCCCCCTTGCATTCCCGCCCGCCCCTATTGTTCCGCCCCAGCCTCCCCTTTTCCCCTCAGTCGTCTCGCACCTGAAGTTTTTGGCTTTCACCCCCACCAGTGACCAAAGACTTGACCACTCAAAGTCCAGCTCCCCATAACACTGCTCGACATGGACACGGTGTGATTGAAGGTGGATTAAAAGTCACTCTCACCATTCCGCTACTTATGCATGGAAAGGAAGTTGGCAGTATCATCGGAAAGAAAGGAGAATCGGTTAAGAAGATGCGCGAGGAGAGTGGTGCACTATTAATATCTCAGAAGGGAATTGTCCTGAGAGAATTATCACTTTGGCTGGACCCACTAATGCCATCCTCAAAGCCTTTGCTATGATCATTGACAAACTGGAAGAGGACATCAGCAGTTCTATGACCAATAGCACAGCTGCCAGTAGACCCCAGGTCACTCTGAGGCTGGTGGTCCCTGCTAGTCAGTGTGGCTCTCTCATTGGAAAAGGTGGTTGCAAGATTAAGGAAATACGAGAGAGTACAGGGGCTCAAGTCCAGGTGGCAGGGGATATGCTCCCCAATTCAACTGAGCGAGCCATCACTATTGCTGGCATTCCGCAATCCATCATTCAGTGTGTTAAACAGATCTGCGTGGTCAAGTTGGAGTCCCCCCCCCCGCCACCACCACCCCCACCCCCCCACCCCCCGCCGAACAGCGTGACTATCCTGTACCGGCCCAAGCCGTCAAGTTCTCCAGTCATTTTTGCAGGTGGTCAGGACAGGTACAGCACAGGCAGCAACAGTGCGAGCTTTCCCCACACCACCCCGTCCATGTGCCTCAACCCTGACCTGGAGGGACCACCTCTAGAGGCCTATACCATTCAAGGACAGTATGCCATTCCACAGCCAGATTTGACCAAGCTGCACCAGTTGGCAATGCAACAGTCTCATTTTCCTATGACGCATGGCAACACCGGATTCAGTGCAGGTTTGGATGCATCTGCTCAGACTACTTCTCATGAACTCACCATTCCAAACGATTTGATTGGCTGCATAATCGGGCGTCAAGGTGCCAAAATCAATGAGATCCATCAGATGTCTGGGGCGCAGATCAAAATTGCGAACCCAGTGGAAGGATCTACCGATAGGCAGGTTACCATCACTGGATCTGCTGCCAGCATTAGCCTGGCTCAGTATCTAATCGATGTCAGGCTTTCCTCGGAGACGGGTGGCATGGGGAGCAGCTAGAACAATGCAGATTCATCCATAATCCCTTTCTGCTGTTCACCACCACCCATGATCCATCTGTGTAGTTTCTGAACAGTCAGGGATTCCAGGTTTTAAATAGTTTGTAAATTTTCAGTTTCTACACACTTTATCATCCACTCGTGATTTTTTAATTAAAGCGTTTTAATTCCTTTCTCTGTTCAGCTGTTAATGCTGAGATCCATATTTAGTTTTATAAGCTTCTCCCTTTTTTTTTTTTTTTGGCCCATGAATTTTTCTGTTTGTCATGGAAATATAAGAGTGGACTATTAATACATTTCAGTTTAGTTCTGTAATGTCAGGAATTTTTCAAAAAAAATTAAAAGATGGACTGGAGCTTTTTCTTTGTGAATAGAAACTGGATGCCACAGTGATTCATGTGGGTTTTATTCCTGTTGTCTTCCTGTTATTTTTGTACCTTTTATTCCTTACAGGACCCTGATTGGGTTTTGAATAGAAGCCTTTATTGCAATTAAGATATTTTCTCCTGTTCACCACTCCCATGTTTTTTATTCACCCTTGATCCTTTCTTCCTACAACCCTGTATTTAGTTGCCCCTTGTGAAACCTTATGCCCAGATTGAGGATTAGACTTTGCTAGGACTTAACTGTAGAATAGGTGTGCAGTTCCATGGTTGGATGGTGCACACATGCATATACATGGAAGCAGTTGACCTGTATCTGGGATTCACCTTCATGGGAATATTTGTCCTTGCTCAAGCTTGCATATTTTAAATGAAAACTTAAGTCTCTAAAAAAAAAAAAGAAAGAAAAAAGAAAATCATTAGCTAACAAGATATGATTTCTGCTTTATGGATTTCATATTCAGTGGGCTGTAGTGGTATCTGGTACAGAATAGCAGGCAAAAAGAACACTGAACTGAAGTTTTAGCGATCATTACAAAAACAACCTATGTGACCTTAAGACAATTAACTTCTTTGAACCTCTGTTTTCTTAGTTGCAAGTGTAGAGGTTTAAAGTATGCAGTGGTATTGAAAAGTTCTTTACAAAATTCTGCTGGCCTCACAAAACACTTATTTCACTGTTGTTTGTTGTTGTTGTTTTTTTTTTTTTTTTTTTTTTAGTTCCTAACAGTTTTTCGCTACCTCTCTATATTTGGAAGAAGACAACGGGTGCCACATAAACTTCCATAGTGCTCCACACATTGCAGGATAGTGTAACAGGAATAACCAGAAGCCAGAGGGAGCTGAGAGAGAGGAGAGTGACCTGGGAAGTCACCTGCTACCAACACACAGGTGTTGCTCTTCTAGGTAGGTATGATGGAGAGGGAGAGGAAGAAGAAGAGGAGAAAGAGATGGAAGGAAGTAGAATGAGGAGGGGAAGGGAATGAGAAAAGAAGAGAGAGAAGGAGAAGAAATGATGAAATTGAGGGACCAGGAGAGGAAACAAAGGAAAGGAGAAGAAAGGAGGGAGGAAGTGAACAGTTATTCACTCATGAATAAATCAGCCTCTATTTAAATATGATGTTGTGTTCTCTTTCACAATTCATGAGACACACTTTCTTTCGTCTGTGTAGAAAATGCCCATTTGACAAACATAAGGTAACTGACATTTGCCAGCTAGCTGGAGCTCCAGATGACACACGCAGCCTCTTGAGAAGTCCTAAGACAGATGAAGAGACGGGCATTTTAAATCATGGAAGTGCCAAGTGTTTCTTATAAAGTGAAGACAATTCCCTGTTCCTGAAGGAACTAAGAACTTTGTAAGTGTTTGGGGCTCCTTCAGAATCAGAGCCCTATCTAGAGCTGGGTTGCAAAGGCAAATGCTCACAGGTGTTTACAGGAGACTGGACATGAGTATGAATATCTAGATGTTTGAAAAAGGTCGGGGGGGGGTAGACTGATGCTGTGTTTATTTACACTGGACCTTAGTGTCAAAGGATGAAAGAAACTGACATGGTAAACTCCACATTCTCTTAAATAGAGTGGAGCCAATAGGTTATCCAATATTGAAGGTTTTTCACTTTGCCCCTGATTTCCATCTGAGTCAGGCTGCAAGCTTATTGTAGGTGGACAAGCCCGGTGAATGATAATGACTATAAGGCTCTAGCCCTGTTGCCTCCTCTACAGGTGTTCCCTGAAATTAGTCACCCTCATGCCCACATCTCAGAGGCTGTGGTTTTGCACATCTATCTCCACTGTAGGGTTGTGGCAGTATTCCTGGGATAAAAGTTGATATTAAAGTTAAAGGAAAGTAGCAACAATCAATAACCAAAATGCTTGGAGTGCTATTACATTCTCAGTGAACTGTCCAAGGTCCTGAACCACTTTGCTACTATGACTTCTGGGTGAGATCTGCTCTCATAAGCTTTATTTATTTTTTTAAAGAAAATATGAAAGTAAATATTAGGCACATATTAAATGTATGCAAATAAGCTCTGAACTTCACCTCTGATCCATCTCTACTTTTGTACCTGTTGCATTTGCTTTTCACCTGTTCCTAGTGCAGCCTGCTCTCCACCTTTATCCTTTTTGTGTTTGCCCTTGTCCCCACCTTGTTCCAGAGACAGTCACAGGTTCAACACCTCAGGGGTCCCCTCATCCTGAATGGCATCTTTGAAAGCTCTTCCACCTGACTCCTTAACTGAAATTTCCTTTTATTTGAGAAAGAGGAAAATTGCCCATCAGAGAGAAAAATCTGTGGGAGTAAATAACACAATGCCAAATATGTCCTTTGTTACCTGTAAAGTCTCACACCATTATTAAACTATGACCTTCAGCCTACCTCAGCATTTCCCAATAGAGAAGCAAAATTAGATGAATGTGAAACACTACTCAACCCAATGGGCTTCCAGGAGAAAAAAATAATAAATATTCTTTGTTTCTTGTATACTATATTTGAAAAGATATTGCTGTCTAGATAGAATTATGAGTTCAATTCACAGTAAGTACAAAGGACAGAGAGATATATTAAACCTATCATAAGTATATCACAAGAAAAATTCATAGTGTGAAACATATTCTGCAGGACAAAAAACTCTGAATTTTTTGACATTAAGCTTCAGAGAATGAAATGGAATGAGGAGACCTAGAGTTTAAAGAGTCTGAAAATTAATCAATCATACTGTGTGTCCCTTAGGTGTATGCTGAATCAATCAAACTGTAAAATAATTGAAAATTGAACATACATTGAACATTCAATTGTATGAAGGGGCATTGTGAACATTTCAAGAAGTTCAAATTTAGAGATTTGCAGTAAAACTATCAATGAAAACAATTTTACACCTGGGACTTATAAAATGGTTCAGGGAAAAGTAGTTGGGTAATAAAGTGAAAGAAGTTTGGTCATAAATTAATAATTGATGAAAATGTGTGATGGATACATAGGGGTTAATTTCTCCATATTATACTTTCAAATATATTTGAAGTTATCCTTAATATCACTAAAAAATATGTTAGCTGGATTCAAACCCTATCATCATTTTTTTCCTTTCCTTCTTTTTTTTAAAATTGATTTTATATTTAAATACACAAAAGCAGAATATGTTACAATTTTATTACATATAGAGAGCAAAATTTTTCATATCTTTGTATATAAAGTATGTTCACACCAATTCATGTCTTTATACATATACTTTGGTTTGTTTTTTTTTGCATTACGTTTCTTATTACACATATATACAACAATTTTTCACATCTCTGTATTTAAAGTACGTTGACACCTAATTTGTGTCTTCATGAATGTACTTTGGATAATGATGTTCATCACATTCCACCATCCTTGCTAATCCCCTGCCTCCTCCCTTTCCCTCCCTCCCCTCTTCCATATCTAGAATTCATCTACTTCTCCCATGTTCCTCCTCCCTACCCGACTATGAGTCAGCTTCCTTATATCAGAGAAAACATTTGGCATTTGTTTTTTTGGGATTGGCTAACTTCACTTAGCATTATCTTCTCCAACACCATCCATTTACCTGAAAATGCCATGATTTTATTCTCTTATTGCTGAGTAAAATTCCACTGTATATATGTACCACATTTTTTTTATCCATTCATCCAGTAAAGAGCATCTAGGTTGGCTCCCCAGTTAAGCTATTGTGAATTGTGCTGCTATAAACATTGATGTGGCTGTGTCCCTGTAGTATGCTGTTTTTAAGTCCTTTGGGTATAGTCCGAGGAGAGGGATAGCTGGGTCAAAAGGTGGTTCAATTTCCAGACTTCCAAGGAATCTCTGTACAGCTTTCCATATTGGCTGCACCAATTTGCAGTCCCACCAGCAATGTATGAGTATGCCTTTTTCCCCACATCCTCACCAACACTTATTGTTGTTTGCCTTCATAATAGCTGGCATTCTGACTGGAGTGAGATGAAATCTTAGAGTAGTTTTGATTTGCATTTCTCTGATTTCTAGAGATGATGAACATTTTTTTCATATATTTGTTGATTGATTGTATATCCTCTTCTGAGAAGTGTATGTTCAGATCTTTGGCCCATTTTGTTGATTGGGTTATTTGTTTTATCAGTGCTTAGTTTTTTGAGTTCTTTATATACCCTAGAGATTAGTGCTCTATCTGATGTGTGAGGGGTAAAGGTTTGCTCCCAGGATGTAGGCTCTCTTTTATCTCACAGATTGTTTCTTTTGCTGAGAAAAAACTTTTTAGTTTGATTCCATCCCATTTATTGATTCTTGGTTTTAGTTCTTGCACTATAGGAGTCTTATTAAGGAAGTTGAGGCCTAATCCCACATGATAAAGATTAGGGCCTACTTTTTCTTCTATTAGACGCAGAGTCTTTGGTTTAATTCCTAGTTCTTTGATCCATTTTAAGTTAAGTTTTGTGCATGGTGAAAGATAGGGGTTTAATTTCATTTTGTTGCATATAGATCTCCAGTTTTCTCAACTCCACTTGTTGAAGATGCTATCTTTTATCCAGTGAATGTTTTTGGCACCTTTGTATAATATGAGATAATTGTAATTTTGTGGGTTGGTCTCTGTGTCCTCTATTCTGTACCATTGGTCTACCAGTCTGTTTTGGTGCCAATACCATGCTGTCTGGTATAGTGATGCCACCTGCATTGCTCTTCCTGCTAAGGATTGCTTTAGCTATTCTGGATCTCTTAATTTTTAGACGAATTTCATGATTGATTTTTTTTTTATTTCTATGAGGAATGCCATTGGAATTTTGATCAGGATTACATTAAATCTGTATAGTGCTTTTGGAAGTATGGTAATTTTGATAATACTAATTCTACCTATCCAAGAGCAAGGTAGATCCTTCCATCTTCTTAGGTCTTCTTTGATTTCTCTCTTTAGGATTCTATAGTTTTCATTGTATAGATCTTTCACCTCTTTCATTAAGTTGATTCCCAAGTATCTTTTTTTTTGAGGTTATTGTGAATGGGGTAGTTTTTCTCATTTCCTTCTCAGAGACTTTGTCACTGATATACAGAAATGCCTTTGATTTATGGGTGTTGATTTTATATCCTGCTACTTTGCTGAATTAATTTAGTAGTTCTAG